AAAAGGAACTAGCTTCTATATATGAAGATATATTAGGTTATGTGTCCGAAAGTCACACATTTACTCGAGAACAAAGTGAAGGTAATTTTTCTACCCAACTTTTAAAACTCTTACCTACAGAAGAGAGGTTTGCCAGACTTATCGGACAAGGAGTTCATGCTGAGGTTGAACACCATCTCCAGAAAATCCGTAATATTCAGGAAATTATTGCTCGTAATCAAATGAAGTGTGCTTTTTTCGGGAGGTAAGGTATTCCTCGTCTTATTAGGCATTGCATTACGAACTAGAAAATTTCTAGACATGTCACACTTCAGGTCACAGAGACGCTGTAAAGTGACATAAGTTCTGCAAAAACTGTCTTCCGTCCGATAAAATTTCGAAATTAATAAATCGACATACGCTTACCACCTTTACCAAACGCTCAGATGTCTAGAATTAGTAATAAAAGTTTTTAAAACAAATGAATGTCATCCCAGCTTGTGCTTTGAATGAAGCCGGTACGGATTACTACACCTTTAACCAACGAAATCCCATTTATTAATTTACAGTCATGCCTCATACTCTCGTTTGTAAAGCCCAATGGTTTATCTATCAATCGTGTAAGTTAAATCTCAAAACAGTGGCGATACGCACCGAAAATTCCCTACCCATTAAATATTTACATAATGACATTTCGGTTATAAATTAACATTGAGTAATTGAAAGGAAGTGGATTAAAAATAATCAAAGTTCAAAAAACAAAAAAAAACCCATCAAATATTGTTAGGTGAAAATTGTAAGAATAGCAATGAAAATGTAGCCAAAGGAGGCTTTGTTTAACCAAAACGTACATTTTGATGCGTGACAACCTTGATCAGCGATTGGAGACTAGTTGACATAGCTCAGAATCGTTCACAATGACACAAATACATTTCCTTTATCATCCTCTGTCTCGTGACTTCCAGAGTTTCTTCATGCTTACTTTTCCATTATGCCTTTTCGAACCATATTAATATTTAGTTTTGCTATCAATTATTAGATTATTTATTATTTGATTATCTTAATCTCTTTTGCTATTCATCTTGTCGTGTCACATGTCGCTAAATTTTGCAAGGATCAAGGTTTTTACTTATAAGTTGGTATGTCGTGATTGTTGAAGTATACAGTGATGAAGGCTGGGTTTAAATAGGCTTAATGTTTTAAAATTTATTTTGGCACATACGGAACCCTTTAAGCTGAATTTCGTTTAAGTGGACTTATGACTAAGAGTGTAGTCAGTGGTAGCAATTTTATTTATCGATTGAACACGCTTTACTAAAGAGATTCTTGACTAAAAAAGTCCTCTGGTAACTGATTTAGGTGGTACTCCGATAGTGTTTCTTTCTTGTATTCGCTTTCCTACGTTGTCCCTTCGTTTTTTTCGTTTTATGCTCTGGTCCGAATGGTTAGATTGATTATCATGTTCATATTGCTTTAGGAATCTGTTCTTTTCATGTGAAGTATGTCGACAATACTTCTTGTATGTAGTGATCAGCAACAAGTAAAATACCCGCCTAACCTTTTCAACATCACTCATAAAAATATCCAGTTTATCATGGAACATGAAATGTATGATAAGTTCCACGTTCTTGTTACAACTGAGAAAGAGTGGCACAACTCAGCGTTCAGTTTATCGCAATAGAGTTCATTTGAATTTTAAGTGTCCAATTTATTAAAAAAAATTCACCTATCAAAATGAGTTTTTCACTGAGTGGCAAGGATATTTATTGATGATACACCAGGTGCAAAACTACTAAATGTTAAAAAGTGCCGAGGGATCAATGGCGTCCACATAGATTTATTGAGGAACCTGGGAAAAGCGGAGACGAAACACGCAAAGAAATCATAATAGACAAAAAACATTTGTTTATACAACTTGAATTCGAAGGTGACGACGTTACAGTGACAATAAACAAAGTATTAAAAAACACTGACCAGAGTGTATCCTTCAGCCAAGCTGATTATCTCTTTAGTTATTTATTTTAACACATAGATATTGGTACAAGGAGGCACAAAATACATAGACGCCACACAAATCTCATTTGATACGTGTGAGAGCTGTGATACTGTCTGGGTTCCCAAACCGAAGCAGGTGGTTTTCTTAGGGGGCCACATCCGGAGCCTTCGACCTGAAGGTCTAATCCATAAGGCAGTGGAGCATCGTAAGAAAATGCAGTCCCACGGAAGCCGGTAACCAACAGTTGGTTCATACGCCATTTGCTCCCACAGGATACTTGAGTTCATGTGCACCATTGGTTTGGGATCAGGATTTTCCAACTCTCCTAGGTGGAGTCTCCATGTCCATCAACTCGGTTAAAGCGCCGGACATTCGCTTTCCGTCCTCTCAATTTCGTAAACAACAACCCCGCTACGAGAAGGCGATGAGAACCTCCCTGGCAGAGGCTATATACGCGTGGCCATGTGAGAGCATTTGAAGAGGGAGAGCAGACTCTTCTCACTCTCGGCCGTACCAAGGCATATGGGGGCTGATTATCTCTTACAAATGATGTGTTCTTTAATATGGTCAAAGATCGAAAGGAACCTCTATTACGTTACCTCCAGCTGGATGCATAAATTTACATTTATCTGTTAAGGCAGTTAGGTTGGTGGAATAGAAAAAAGTCTACTTTTGACTTCGAAAACATATATCTAGAAGATCAATGGGAGTAAAGGCCTTCAGTAGTTCCGTTTCAAAGCATGTCATTTTGACACAAATCAGGTTTATATATCGGAATCTTTCATGATTGTGAGTCTGCAATCAAACTGTAGTCTTAAATTTACTGAAACCGTAGCCACCAAACATTGAGGTCGGATCTATATATACGAAAGTAAAAAAGTGCATTATTTTTTTCGAATTCATAATTTTTAACTGATTGATTTCAACTTATGTTATTCCTATTTAGTAATAATTTGTGCTCATTTTCATTGGATAATCAGTTAGTTTTTTATAGCTCTGTGATCTATTATTACTATGTCTTATCTCACGTAATATATTTATTTACAACACTTCAATGTTATTACATTTACTCGGATTGCCGCTGCACCATGACGATGCATGTCCACATCAACTCATAAATGTTTTAAGTATATTAATGATAACCCCGATTTCAAATGTTCTAGATTGTAAGCAGCTGATGAGAACCTAACAAAGTAAAGCGAATTTATGTTACTCTGCTCAATTCTTTGTTTTTGTTCTCATCGAGTTAGTAGAAGGAACTAATTACGTGAAACTTTCCATATATGCTGTTGGACTAACATAACAATTGATGGGGATGATTCAGATTGTTGAAAACAATAAATATTTGTTTCATGCAATTAGTTCCCTTTATGAATTTGAATAGAGCAAGAACAAACATTGATGCATCAATGTTTGTTCTTGCTCTATTCAAATATTTGTTTGTTGTGTCAATTTTTTACAGTGACTTTTACTAGTCGCTTTCTGAAATTAATCTTTTCAAAAAGGTTTCTATCTTTCCCGAAAAATCTACACAGAATAACGTGGCTACAGGGGACTTGAATATACAGACTTTTTAGGTCCTTTATTATCCGCAACAGACCATTTGACAACCAGTTTTAACTTGACGGTACCGTAAGCCAATCACCCATTGAGCTCGACGGGCGATGTTGTCTAGTGTAGAGGTAGGCTGGAAGAAAACTAGGGATGGCCAAACCAAGACATAGCATCAGTCCATAAAGTCATTGACATTTGGACTGAGCCATGCTAATAGGTGTAGACTACCTAGCTAGGGTTCAGTGTGGGCTGTTACTGTCCGGGCGCCCAGACTGAAGCAGGTGGTTTTCTTAAGGGGGCCACACCCCGAGCCTTTGACCTAAAGGTCTAACCCACAAGGCAATGGAGCATCGTGAGGAGATGCAGTCCCATGGTAGCCGGTGACCAAGAAATTGGTTCATACTCCATTTGTTCCCACAGGATACTAGAGCCCATGTGCACCATTGGTTTGGGATCCGGTTAAAGCGCCGGACATTCGCTTTTCGTCCTCTCATTTTCGTAAACAACACCCCCGCCACGAGAAGGCAGTAAGTAGGACTTCCCTGGCAGAGGCTGTACACGCGTGGCCGTGTGAGAGTATTTCGAGAGGGAGGGCGAGCCCACCCCACTCTTAGTCAAACCAGGGCATTTGGGGGCTGGCTAGAGTTCGCATGATTATCGTAACCACTGGCTAGACACTTTGATATACCTTAGAATCGTTTGCAGTGGCGCAGATTCATTCACTCTATGTCTTCCTCAAATTTCTGAGCTTCGGAATTCCTAATTACTTCCTTTGTGTTTTGTATTACTTATGTATATTTTCTTGAATCGTATCTTTGATGCATAATCTTTTTTATCACCATACCTATTGCTAGTACCTCTACTATTCTGGAATTCGGCCTGATAATTTCAACTCTCTGTGCTTATGGGGTATGGCAACTTGGATCTATGTACATACATACTAGGTTTTACATTGTGACTAACTGACTTAGATGCCCATCTCTGATTATGATCAAGCCCAACAATCTCCTTATTCGTGTCGCGGAGTGGGTCACAGTATGTTTGATGACCATACACTAGTAATAATATTGCCCTTTCTTAAATGAAACTAATCACTTACAAGGCTATCATTAGTTAGTAGTAGATAAATAATCTTTATGGTCACTAGGCTGATAGTTTCTCTTTATCAGGATAATGGTTCTACTGGAGTTCACTTGGAAAAATAATCAAAATGAAGGCGTTTTAGAAATCGGTAAACATGTTTTTTATTTCCTGTAGTACTCAGTTTGGATGTTTTTCAGGTGTATTGTAATTTTTATCTTTCTACGTATAGAACATCAAATGGAAAGAGTACTGTTATCAACGCGATGTTGGGTTCAAAATTGTTACCTTCTGGTTTGGGTCACACCACCAGTTGTTTCCTTGAAATCCAGGGAACGGATCAGGACTCAGGATATCTTCTAATGGCTGATTCTGATACCAACGCTAAAGAAACGTCAGATATTTCTCACCAGGTTTGATCAAATATTTAATTCGCATTTAAGAACTTTCGAACAGTTTCACAGTATTTGGGCGCCGAGTTGATGTGAGACATTAACGTTTCGCCTGGCAATCTGGTCCAAGTTTTTTCAAGGAAATATAATAAGGCATTGAAATTATCGAATATAAATAGGTACATGGTTCTTTGGTTCACTGTATACTGAATATGCCATCCAATCAATGTTAACAATGTTTAAAGTAGGTATTTACATTAGTGTGTATTATCTGAATAACAGCAATTGCATTTAACGGCTCTCATCAGTTGTCTTATCTGAATATGTTAAACGATTAACTGGAACATTAAAATAACAGAAACATTCAGTTACAATTACATTCTTCCTCTTTGGATTCATTCCTTTATCTTGTTTATTTATCCTCATTTTATGCATACTGTGACATTTTTGATTCATATCATTTATAAAAATTATGTTTTCTTAAAGCTCACTGACCAGAGACAATATATAGTAAATGAAATTTCTTCTCACACCACTTACGTATACACACAATCTGTTGTCTTAACACTTCGTTTCACATCACATGTCTCTTACATACTAATGCAAATACCTACTTTAAACATTGTTAACATTGATTGGATGGCATATTCAGTATACAGTGAACCGAATAACCATGTCCCTATTTATATTCGATAATTCCGATGCTTGATTATATTTCCTTGAAAAAGCTTAGACCAGATTGCCAGGCGAAACGTTGGCTTTACTCCAAATTCATTCGCCGAGATTTTACAAATACATTCTTCCTCTTTAATCTAATTAGCACTTTTGAAAGATGACTTCTATTTTGTTGTTTTAATGGGAAGTCGATTCCATTTTAGTGGATAGTCTGAAATATAAATATTTTTTTGTCTTAAAACTTGTTTTAGTTTTGTGGGTGTACTAAAATTCTATATTATGACATTCATCTTACAACTTGTAGTTTTCTACTTGAGCTTTACTTTATTTCACCTGTTTCAGTGAGATAGGAATAGGTTGGAAGAAATTTAGGGTGGGACATATCAAGGCGTTATCAGTTCATACAATCATTGACTACTATTGACAGGTATAAGCTACATATTGAGTTCTTCACGACAACTAATCAGTGATCGAAGACGTTAATTGACATTTCAGAACCATGTACAGTAGCGCAAGTGCATTCATCATTTATATTCTACCATTCTCAAAAAATAGGAACATAGCACGATAATCCTAAAAAAAGATTTTTGTTCATTTACTTTCGTGGAACGTATAATTTTCCGAAATATCTGATTCATAACTTACTACTTAAATCTATTGCTAAGTTAACCCAATAATTAAAATAGTCCCAGTTGTACTGGCACAATCTCTTAATCAAGTTAATTTTTCTTTACTCAGGCTCGTCCTATTGATTCTGTCGGTCAGTTAGCCCATGCATTAAGCAGTGTCAAACTTTCCACAGATACACTACTAAAAATATTCTGGCCAAGTTCATATTGTAGGCTGTTACGTGAAGATGTTGTTCTACTAGATAGTCCAGGGATTAATGTTGATCCAGATATGGATAGATGGATTGATCTTCACTGTTTGGATGCGGATGTTTTCATTCTTGTTGCTAATGCTGAGTCAACATTAATGCAAGCTGTAAGTAATTAACATATTTTATTTTGATTGGTAATTTACTTATTTATTTGAACACATTGGTACAAAAGGGGCACCAAATACATATGCACCACACAATAACAATGAGGTTGTAGAGATATAGAGTGTAAAGAAAGGGGTAATTTTACCAAGATCAATACGGTTGTATATCTTTTAATATACAAAAATGATGTGGTCATAGTGATATATATGTACTTGAAGGTTATTTAATTGTAAATTGACTATTATAAAGATCAGTATTAGTTTCACTATCGATAATTAAAAACGCACTGTGAATGTTACTTCTTTGAGTTATTTTTAAAGGACACCGTATGAATTCAGTTTGTTTTGTATTGCTAATCATTGTAATAAATTATTTAAAGCCAAAGATTATAGTAATCTAATAGTTAAAACATTAAGCTTTTCAGCTGTTAGTTTGTAAATCTGAACTCCGTTCTAACCAATTTAATTCGATCATTCGGTTAGTGTCATTAACTCTCACACCGAAAGTGTATCTAAAGGTGGAGTATATGAACTTGCACCTTGCTAAATGAATCGTATTTTATTTGAATTTTTTGTGGAAAAGCTTTAATCTCCACTATTTGTTTCAAATATTTTAAATAAGAGTAACCGGAATTCGTTTTTTCCTTCAGATAAAAGTTCTTCTTGTGTACTAAATTTTTCAGGAGAAAGATTTCTTCCATAAAGTCAGTCAGAAGTTATCCAAACCAAATATTTTTATCATTAATAATCGTTGGGATGCTTCAGCAAACGAAATTGAATATATTAATGAGGTATGTGCACATTTTTCTTGTTTTAGTTATATTCTAAACTTTCGAATACTTATTGTGAGTCCACTAAAAAGTTTTCAATTAAGCTTAGTCACAACAAGATCATTAAGACCCACTTTTCTAAAGTTTTTTTTTAGGAAGAGAGCTATGGTAGCAAGACAAATAATAATGACTATTTTCCTTTTACAAGACCTACGGTAACGTGATTGAAGTTTATAAACACCCCTTTACCAATTAAATTTTGTAATGGATCAACATCAATCAATAGCTCAGTGAAAACCATGATTCGTGGAGATGTTTTCTCCTTGTTCGAGACTCTTAAGAATTAAATACGCGTTGGAATATGACCTCCAGGTCTTGCGATGCGCATACTATCTAGTCACTGAGTCTGACGTTTAATAGTTTAGATTTTCAACTTTCGTCTATTCGCTATATAATGCGACCATCTTTCAACTTCATCAAAAGATAAAGGCCGTATTCTTAGCGTGATTGGAACCATAGACCATAACGCAGTAGCTAAATTCCCAACTTAGGTAAGGATATCTATATGCTTTGAACCATCTTTTTATTCTGTCACTTTCTCAGTATAATAAAAACATACATATGTAGATTCCACTTACATGATTTCAATTTTCCTACACTAACTATAATTTCCAAGAATATTACTTTCTAAATTATCATAATTTTTACTTAAATTACTTATCTTTTTAGGTACGTGAGCAACACCTGCAACGTTGTGTAGCGTTTCTTGTTGATGAATTAAAAGTGTGCACACGTACAGAGGCAGAGGGACATGTTTTCTTCGTTTCAGCCCGTGAAGTTCTAGCGATGAGAACAAAAGCGAATTTAGGTGGCGATCCACATTCAGGTCCTCCTGGAGCGGCTACAAGTATTGGGTCTCCTTTGTCAGCAGGTGGGCTACTATCATTAGTGCTTTCTTATCAAGCTTATATTTATCTATTCGGCTTTGAGCAACATTAGTGCTAAAAATATTACTCTTCTGGAATTGATGTTAATAAACTTGTCAGACACTTTTTTTCTGTACAGCCAGAGCACCATCCTATCCGACAGTTTGAAAACTACTATATCACGAAAATTATAAATAGCTGGCTTGTAATGCATGTGATTGTGTTCAAACATTTCGGAAAGTATTAATAAATGACCAATAAATCCAGGAACTGAACAAAGACTTCCCTCTCTTGAGGACTCATCGTTTCATGAGTGCAACGATGATCCGTAGTGTCGCGATGTGGTCTGTGCATGACAGATCCTCATGGGATCCGGTCTGTTGACCTGGATGTTTGGCGTCTATTGAATATTTCATCTGGCTAAGCATCAGTCTGTTGAAAACGTTTGCTAGTACCGATAGTAATATGATGCCTGTGTAGTTCTTACATTTGCTGAGATCTCCTTTCTCTGATATCTTGATGAGGTGTGCTCCCTTCCAGTCTGTTTGTGGTACTTGTTCTTCGCAGTTCTTTCTGGAGAGAATGTGGAGCATCTTTGCAGTTGACCTTGTGTTTAACTTCAATACTTTGTTTGGTATGTTGTCAGGTCGTGCTGCTTTCTCATTGTTGATTTGTCTGATGGCTATCGTGATTTCTTCGCTTGTTGATGGAGTAATATAAACAGGGAGGTTAGTGTATGCTGCTTCGTTGTCCGATAGGTTCATTGGGACCGGTCTACTCACGAGTTCTTCAAAGTGGTCTGCCCACCTGTTCCACTGACCTTGAATCTCGGTGATTGGTTTGCCTTCTTTGTCCTTGACCGGCCTCTCTGGTTTACCATATTTCCCTACCAGTTTCTTCGTTGTATTATATATTTGTCTCAAAGTTCCTTCTCCTTCAGCTTATTCCTTTATCACTGCTAGGTCTTCCACGTATTTCTGCTTGTCGGCTCTGATGCTCCTCTTCACTCGCTATTTTGGTTCTGTGCATTCATCGTGTGCCTTGGTTTTCTCTGTTCGCGTTCGGCTGTTGCTAATTGTTGTCTTCATGTTCTTCCCTTCTCTAATTTTGTCCAGGGTTTCGATAGAGATCCATTCCTTACGATGATGCTTCTTGCATCCCAGCACTTCCTGACACGAAGTTACTGCTTCTTTAACACCTTTTGAGTTGTCCTCCATAGTAGTTTCCTCTTCTTTGAGTAGATCTTGTAATGCTTGGAATCTGTTGTTGAGAGCTGTCTTCAATTCGTTGAGTTGGTCAGTATTTCGAAGGAAGGCTGTATTGAACCTTTGTAATTTCTTTTTATTGCTAGGTCTTCCACGCATTTCTACTTGTCGATTTCTCTCTTGGATCTCACGTCTTACATGGATCTTCTGAATTTTGTAGTGGTTCAAATATTTTTGATCTGGTTCTCTGTATTGTGATCCAGTGAGACACATGAAGATTTGTGTTTGTGTTTGTGGGGGAATATGGGGTCATTTATGGTCATTTTATTGAAGGCACATAAATCTGAAAATTTCTCGCCATTCTCGTCCCTTTCTCCCAGTTCTTACCATCAGTGCAACTCCCAGTGTGTGGGTGAAGCATCCTCTTTTTCATGATCAAAGTACAACAGTATCTCTGCCGAATCTACTCTATTCTATCTATCTTGGTTCCAATAGTTTTCACTCATTTCAAGCACTTCCAATTTGTATCTCCTCAGTTCCGTAATTATTTGACTGGTCGTCATGGTCCCTCACATCTCCTGGTCATCCCGTCTTCTCAATATATAAACGGATGATGGGAAATCCATGTTTGAATTATGAGCTTGTCACGGTGGTTCTGTGCATAATTAAAATCACTACTTATTACTTTAGAAGAAATAAGACGTTAGTCAGCTCTTATGGATTTCTGATTCTAATAAAATTTGATATCAAAATATAACTTCAGTACGTTTCTCTTTACGTCCTATCGGGATCATAAACTGTCCATTATCGGATAAAACACCTGATTAATACTTCATCAAAGTTAAGAAAAAATCGACCAGTTGTTTGTATCGTTCTATCAGTTATAGTTTCTCTAATCTAAATGGATGATCTCTATATTTGGAATTTACAGGAAATAAATTTGGTTGTTTATTTAAAATTACCATATCGTTATTAGTTACTCCAATAATTTTATGACATTACATTGGGATTTTTTAGTGGCCTATATGGCTGAGGGTTGGCAAGACAGACTCGTGGAGTTTACAAATTTCGAAACTGTTTTCGAGGTTAGTGGTGGTTAAATTTTATTTCTATTCCCTATTTATGCATTGAAGTAATCCATTTGTGACAATTTTCCTGTTTTATGTTTTGTTGTATATGATTTTCTGTTTTGTCCTCCATTACTAATGATCAATATGATTTCATTAAATGCACTAATCACTCGTTGTATATTGGGCCTTATAATCATGATACTGTTGTGATGCAGTGGATTTCAGACACTGAATTTTCAACTATGGGACTGGGATTTTCAACTACACTGTACTTATTTAGATTTAACAGCTAAGTAATTACTATTCACCAAGTACAGCTTATAGCTTAGTTTTCTTATATACTGTTAGATTCCTAGTTTTAAAAAAAAATTTTTTAAAGGGTTTACAGTACTTGGAACAGTGTCTTAATGGTCATAACATTCGACTTCAAAAGACTATGTTTCAGATTCTAACATTGCTTCATCTAATTCCTTTGAGAAAACTGACTGGTGTCAATCGAGTGCATTAACCTGTAGTCGTCACATAAGCTACCTTATTTCAGTTGGTCTAAATGTATTTAAATGAACTTTCTACGACCCTTTATTGTCGATATTGGATTGTTACTTTTATTGCTTTAAGTTTCTCAATCCCTTATTGTACTGGGTTAACTAGTTACATTTAAATTTATTTGATATATTTTTATGTTCCTATCTGTATGGGGAGATCCATTTGTAGTGAATTTTGCATATGCTACCATGAATAACTGTCTTGAAAACGATGCATTGGTGAATTTTATCTATAGTACGTATACCTCTATCGTTCAAAAAGAAGAAAAATCAATTTTAAATGTAGGGTAATAGGTTCAATTTGCTTTTGTACCACTCATGAGTAATCTCAGGACATTCTTCTTCTCGATAGTCATTTTGGTGCACTTTTACTTAAATTTCACTTGAATTATACAAATCGAAGTTGAATAATGGTATTTGACAAGTTCCGGGTGAAGTGATCACCAATTTTTCAATGTAATTAATCAATTGACAGAATGTAAACTATCGCAATATAAAAGAATACTAACAATCAAGGTATTAATATTTTGAATTGATCATGTTAGAGACAGATTAGTATATTTATGTATGTTGCGTTCAAATGCATTCAAATATAATTATAGTAATACTTGAGATTATTTTAAATATAATTTTCACATATAATGACTTGTAATTTATGACTTATTGAACTCCATTATCATTTCTTGTGAATTTATTTTTTCTTTTATATAGAAAAATCTTTCAGAGTCTGCTACTCGTACAAAATTTGCAGCTCATTCTGAACAAGGCAAGGATGTAGTGAATAGAATTCGTACAATCATGGAAAATATCTATGAGACAACAGTTGAAGAAAAGTCAGTATTATTTTATTGTTAACATTTTGATTTTATTTTAATTGTGATATTTGTTCGATATTTTATGTTATTAGTGTTTATACTTGTGTATTTTTTTATTTTGGACTTTTTTCTACATTTATCCTCATTATGAAAAGGATTATTAACATTGATTATAGACTATAAAAATTTATTAAATTCTGATCTATTTCATTCTTTTTATTTACTTTATTTAATATTAAGTGTAGCATCGTTTGTACAACATTTTCTCTATTTTGATCCTCATATTAATGAGTAGTTAAATATGTTATACTTAGGCTACGTCTATCAATTCTATCAATTTTTGATGGTTTAGTTTTTCACTGCTGTTGACACTATTTTCGTTTATTCACATTTTCTGTTATTATTTTCTCTTCGCTATAACAGTTTAACATGTGATAACTTGAGTCGAAACACATTCGAGTCGAGTATTACGTTGTTTTCACCTGAACGTGATTATTTAGACTTCTTGGCATTTATTACTTTGCATTCAATCATACCTTTAGATCATCTTAAGTTATTTTATTTAGAATATTTTACGTGTTCTGACTTTCAAAAAGCTGTTTATTTTAACGAGTTAACTAGTCTTAGGAGTATACTTTTATTGACAAAGTTATTTTTTTATTTATAGCCATATTGGTTATCATGTTTGTTGTTATGAATTTTAATCACATTTTTTTCTGTATTAGAGATGCTGCTGTTCGTTGTCGTCGTCTTTCTCAAGCCCATCTTGAAGAGGTACGTGCCCGGTTGATGAAGACAACTCAAGCTGTGGATGAAATGCTTCATGCTAGTTTGGCACGTGTTGAAGCTCAAGTTGCTAGTGCATTAAATGCTGAAATTCGACGTTTGAGTGAACTTGTCGATAGTTATTCGCGTCCTTTCCATCCAGATCCAGCTTTGATTCATGTATACAAGCGGGAACTAAATACCCATGTTGAACGTGAATTAGGCAGAAAGCTTACTGAAGCTTGTTCTAGTGATATTCTTAATGAAGTTGCTCGATGTGAACAGTTAATGATGAGTAAGTTTTTTTTACAAATTTAAATGTTAATCAAGAGTAACAAGTTTTTTGAAACTTGCAACTACACTCACTCATGTGTTAATAGTCGGGGGCTTCACACCATAATAGTAATTCATAGTGTCCACGTTTTTTTGCAGTACCGTCTTTGAGTACTGCTAATCGACTTAAGAATTATTAAGCAAAAATTAAGTCTTTTCATTTTCATATGCGTATTTGTAAGTGTGATGAAATTAATTGTTACTGTTGAAAAGTAACGTTCTTGTATACACATTAGAGTTCTCATTGTGAATTATAATAGCTAAATAACTCACTAAATGGTCTTCCTGTAAATACCTCTAAATTTAGACTTTAAATTGTTAAGCACTTGACCTGTTAAGCTCTCATATAACTGTTTGTTTACTGCTCTTTATTATTAAAGTCCAATATGATAAAATAATTGCTTTCTAAATATTTACGTAATTTATTCGTATATGAAAGTGGTAAAGTTGATCCAACATAATCATTATCAGAGTTGAAGATGTAGGGTAATACTCGTTTGTCCGAAAGATTTAAAATTATATCATTAAAATAAATAGTAATGTGAAGTACCAGGTATTCACCACATCTGACAAAAGTTCTGTTTTTGCATGATGTATAATTTTTTAAATTGGCTTTTACTCGTTTTTTCATTTCAGATAAACATGCGGCAATTGTTTCAGAAGAAGCTTGTAAAAATCGTATACTTCAGTTAGTTGATCCTACTGCGTTTACTCCGGAATTCCATCTTGATTGTCGTAATTTGTGTGCAAATTTTCGCGAAGATATTCAGTTTCGTTTTTCTCTTAGTTTGGGAACGCTGTTCCAACGGTTATCAGCCCAACGTCGTTCGACGAATAGTGTAAGTTTTCTGTCACTGTATAGCTATTTCGTTAATTGAAAAAAAAACGGAATTTTTTTGGTCGTTATATGTAATGTAAAACGTGGTGACTTGCTAGTTAAAGCATTTAACTTTTAACCACACCTTCCATTATCATGTCAACGATTTGATTTCAAACAGCTAAACAGAATCATTGGCTCTTAAGCAAAATGTGTAATTTAGGAAATGTTCTTGGTTGTTGAGACGCGATACTCTTCAACACTAACAAATTAATTAGATTGTTTTTAAGGGTGCTAATAACTCGAAGACTTCTTTCTGCACTAAAACTTTCACTTACTATCACTTCCAGTTTATTTTAACAAATGGTTACATTTGTACACCGTTCTTTTTTCCTGTTCAACATTTTTGAAAGACAAGGTATCAGTTAACTAAGCAAACGGTTTATAGCCATTTCTTTTGAAGAATATAAGAACCCAGAATTATTTTATATGCATATTTCTGATAATTTAATTTGTCTTTATAAATCCATCAGTATTATTTCGAAAATCTTCTAACAGAAACACGTCACTAAATAATGTCCTCCAATTTTAATAGGGATTTAATTCGATAATGGTAAAAGAAAAAGAATCTAAGGATTCTTTTTTTAGAATTTGTTATAACACTCAGTTTTCTTCGTCTACACAAATTGGACGCTAATTTGTTTTAGACGAATATCTACACTAGATATCCTCCCAATGTTTATTCCACAGGACTACAACACAACTCAGATCAGGAACACGTGACTATTTTTAACTAGAACGTAAGTTTATTTCCACACTAAAAACGGACAACAATCCAATGATATCACTTGGTCGCCATTTATCGAATATCCGTCTTTTAAGTCTTCTATCTAGCATATTGTTACCTATTATTGATAAAGTGCCCATGTTAATCTGATTAATATCATTCTTTTGATCATACACATATTTCCATTTTAAAGGATTGATGTACTTATTGAAAAGCAATTTTGGAATTAAAAAAGCTTGTATCACAGAATGTAACTCGGTATCATGAGTTGTACTGTAGTGTATACTACTTATAATGACAAATATAAGTAGTATGTAGCACCAATCGGAAGTGGGATGTCTGCCAGAAGATTGAATTAAACAGAACAGGAAGTTAAACAGACAGCAACTGTAACAACAGCTGGATTTTTATCTCAATTCAATATGTTTACGTTTTAAATGATCTCGTATTAGTAAAATACTAATTATATGTAAACGTGTTTGGTTGTTTAATGTATAATCAGGTAGTCGATGTTTCTTATCTTACTTCCAGTATCATTGGACACAATCTGATGGAATTCCTTCTAGTTTGGTTAACTCTTCCATACTACCCAGATCTTCGTTGACTGTTGATTTATTCCCTTCTCTTATGAGCCGAAGTGCTGTCAGTACTGTTATTGTTTTTGGAATTGTAAGTTTTAATTCGTTTGTTATTGTGTTGTATTTACGGTGTTTTATGAATAGGAAGAATAATAATTTTTAATAATTCACTCAATCTTCTCTAGTTGTATATATTTTGAAATTTAATGCATAGTCCCAATAGATTTCACTACTTGTTTCATATTTCTTTTTTCTGGCTATCATTATTTACATATAAGTGGTATGAATAAAACGTCTATCCACTATTTTCACCATAACTTCTTCCTTGATAAATTTTGAGCAAATTGTTCAAGATGGTAGAGATTTTATTTAAGATCTAAATCTCTCGTGTTCACCTTTTAAAACTACTTGTTTGTCATTGCGAACGTCAATGAGAAAGAATTTATTTTTTTAGGGCTTGTGATAAACATCTTTTGATATTTACATATTCATAATTGCTATTGGAGTTACCGGTAAGGAGCTTATCAATCTGTGTTTTATTAAATTACTCTTCTATAAGATTATTTAGAAATTATAAATTGCGAATTTCATTTTAAGACTTCGAATTCGTCTCGTTCTGTGGCAACAAAGGTGCATTTTCTTTTGTTCCAAATAGTCAATGTGTCTGGATAGGATATGAAAACGCGGCTTGTTTAGCACAGCAACACAAACATTTATTTGTTCATTTATCTCCTTCTTTGCGTGGTATGACAACATCTATCAGATTGTCTAATTTCATCAACGACCATAATGTGAGGTCATATATAGTCGATCAGTTTTTCCAGCATCAGATCTACGTACATACGCCTGTTATCTTACCATAGTTTCTCCACTTTTTCACTCCAAATGTCTTTCATTTTCAACCTTGATAACATGATTGGATGATTTGTTTAGTACATAGTCCATTTGTAAACCATATATTTGTATCCAATCCTTTTAGTGATTTCTTTTCCAAAAGCTTGAACTAGATTGCCAAGCGAAACGTTGAGATTTTTATAAGTCTAATATTCTCATTGTTATATACTAACTCGACTCAAAACTACTGTGGAACTATTTGTTCAATTTTAAATGGTTATTCTTGTAAATGTTCGTAATTCCGTTTGGAAGTGAAGTGACTTTTATAAGTTTTGTAAAAATCAATTTTATTAGATTGCAATACTTTTTTTCATATTGTCCTAAGTATTTTGCTTTCTAAAGTTCTTAGTGTAATGGTAGGTTTCTGTTCATTCATTTCTTCAAAAAACGTTTTTGAATCAAGCATTACTTTTTTTTGTTGATAAAAAACCCAACCATATTAGATGTTTAAAGCTGTTGGTTGGCGAGTTCTGGCAGTGGCTTGTGGAATATACGGTGGTTTATATTTATATGAACGACTTTCTTGGACAAATAAAGCTAAAGAGGCTGCTTTCAAACGTCAATATGTCGATTTCGCTTCCCATAAATTACGTTTAATTGTTGATTTAACTAGTACAAATGCTCGGCATCAAGTAAGTCTTGTGATAAAGCTTTGAAAAATTCTTTGGTTTGTTTACTGAATAATTTTTAGTGTAAAAAATAATTTGATAATACCGATAACATCTACTTTGTTTTGATATACTTGATATAAATGTATAGGACTATAATAGTTGTCGGCAGATTTGGAGTAGTTTTAATTTTTGAAAATCTAAAGTTTAAGAAATCCTTCCACTTGCTGATTTGTGTACTTAAAACTGAACAACATATTGCTCAACTTTTTTTTCCAGTTGCTTTATCAATATTCCTATTTATTCATCCTAATACATATATCACTATACACTTTTATTCTTGGAATTACTTAAAATAACTTGTTATCACTATGTTATTATTATTGGGGTTTAAAGTATTATTCCCTTGTAGTTAGTTAAATAATTAAATTACTCAGTCAGTTTTCAATTATTTAACTGTAAATTTGAACTCTGTTCTATCTAATTTGGTTTAAGTAGTCGGATATAATTAATAGCTTGATACAAATGTATAGTTAAATCCCAAAAGAGGTTTTTAGTATTAATCTGCTTTTAAATTTGTTTGTAAATATGTGCTTAACATGTTTTATTTATTTTCTTAGGCTAAAAGAGAGTTACATCTAGCTCATAAGAAGTTGTCCACGGAAGTGGAGAATTTCAGTGATACTTTAGTTGAAGAAGTGAAACAATTGGATAGTGATATTAACCGTCTGGATTTTATTACTACAGAAGCAAGGAAACTTAAGTGAGTAATTTAATTACATTGTATTTTAAGCTGTTGAATATATGGATCTTACACTATAGATATGTCAGTGTGAACATGGAACTCTTTGTTTTATGTCCTTATGTATTATTCTATCTGCTGTGCTAATAGTGCAAAACATTATCTGTTTCCAAAAGAAATTCTCCCTACAATTAGCCTAAATTACTTGTCACTTCTTTTGAATTCGTTTATAATTTTGGTTTTAAGTATAAGGTATATATGGAATATATCCAATAAGGGATGTATTTAAAATAACAATGACAATATTTTATGAAAATAAGTATAGAATGTATGTCAGTTTACCACGTTCATCAATTTGATGCAAATTACTTGGTTATAGTAACAATAATAATAAATTTAAGGTTACGGCGTCTGAAAGAATGTGATTTCCAAGTAACTTCAAAATGAGAATTTCGAATAAAATGATCAAAGTTATAGATGGTGTACAATTCTGATTGAAATGATTTTACAGCACAACATTAGTGATTATTCACACTCCATTGGAAAAATAAATAACAACAATTAAATAAGTTGAACATCGAACTAGTTTATTGAAGCGTAATAGACAATTAAAGCATCTATGTGTACGTACGTCTTCATGTTATCATGATCAAACCGTCATTAAAAAAAACAGCGATATTTCGTATGTGGCCATTTTTTAATAGGGAGAGACACTTAAACTGTTCACATTTCTCCTAAATCTCATTGGAAATATTTGTATTTTTTTAAAGGTAAATCTCTTTTATTTACATGTATTCCTTGTTGGTTATACTTTCGTTTAGAAAATAATAGAGCTTATTCAACTGTTAACTATTTGTCAATTTATTTTCTTCAATTTTTACTTTACAGAAATCGTGCTAATAACTTGGGGAATATTTTGAATAAATTTCATGAAACATTTATTTTAAATCCATGGGATGAATCTAATTAGAAGAATTCAATTTATTCTTTTGGTGTTTTCTTTTTTTGTGAGAAGAAATGTTCATCCATGTTTTAATTCATCCGTCGATAACCATCTTTGAACAATATATATATATATATATATATATATATATATAGTTTAGTTTACAAAATGAAAAGTATGATGCAAAAAAACAAAATCTCGAATTGAAATATCTTCAAAAATCGTTCTAGTAGTAGTATTAGTTAGTAACAGTAGCATGGTAATAATTCATTTGTTACAAAATTGTATTCCTCAAACAATTTAATTTCCCCATTTAAACGATAATAGTTTTATTTGGGAACTTGTATTGTATATTATGTATAGTATTAATATAATATGTCATTTAATTGTCGACATCATCAACCACATCCTACTTAGTCGATAGATGGGCGCTTATTATTATTATTACTATTATTATTATTATTGGTTCATAAATAACTCTTTTAGGGTTAACATATTCATAATTGAATGTATGTACAACATGAGATATAATTTACATGAATTTTTTAAAATTGAATATACATTGTTAAACAGCACAAATTGTTTTTTCATGGTCAACACTTTCATCACCTTATTCGTTGGTGTTATAAGTTTATATTATTATTATTAGCTTTATTCAATATTATATTTTTGGTACAATATAGAATTCTCAGCGTAAAGTATTTCAACAAGTTTCCGTTTCTTTCTTCTTGGTCGGTCCTGGCGATAAATATTGAGTAATCGCCAGTTAGATGTTAGCAGTTCAGTAAATGAACATCTGAATAATGTGCATTCTTTTCGCTATATATTGCCAGCAACCACATTGTCTCTTATTGAGTTTTTTGTAACTTTGACAACGAAAGGTTGTACACTTTTCAGAAACGCAGCAGAATAGGTTATGCGATTAATAAACAATGATATATTAAAACAAACAAAAATAGATAACTTGTTGAAATATATAGATGGTAGGAACAGGTAGCGCAGATGCTCAAGCAGGCCCTATGTTTCAGTAGATCATTCATATTTCTGGTTTACGCATAGTTATTAAATTTATTTTGTATTGTTTGTTTGAATCTTCTCATTGATGTTTAGGACTGCAATTGGTCAGTCTCTTATTGGCATATGTGCATCCTGTGCTGATTGCCTGCATATTGCCTTCATTCACAAGCATTATAAGCAAAGATGGTCGGTGGCTAGCAGTGAAATTCAGGACGCGCGTTTCGTCCTATTTGGGACTCGTATGCTGGATGTACCTGATCATTCGAGGTCCTAAACGTCAATGGGAAGATTCAAACAAACAATACAATGAATTTAAAACTTCACCCCATTTCACAAGCAAGTGGTTATCAGGACTTAGTAGCTAAGTGAATAAAGCTATAGCGTTTGAAGCGAACAGTGCTGAGTTCGGGCCCCGGAATGAACACCAACTCTGAGATGCAGATACATACAGCTGACGAGTCCCAAATAGGATGAAACGCGCGTCTTGAATTCCACTGTTAGCCACCTATCATATTTGCACATAATAATTAATTGTTTACAAATTCTCATCATATTAATAAAACATGGGTCGTATAAACAATGAATATTCTTTTCAATAAATTCTCGTCATGTTCTATCGCTACAAAGTCAAATTCCTAAACCAAATGTGAGATAACCCATCGTTTACGATTAGGTTATATAAATGTACGATTTTAAAAATAAATTCAGATTTAATATTGAAATTATTAGTATTCAATATTCACTTGAATTACATTATATTTTAAATGAAATCATGAGATGATTGACAATGAAGGGTAAAACAAAATAAGGGAATAATGTAATTATTAATCAAATCAAATGGTTGGTTAACGACTGGGTAATGCATAAATTGATATGAATTCAGTACGAGATATTGAAATAGGTTGATAGTTAATTAGATTCTTGACGTTTACAAGAATAGTAATAATGATATGAAACATGTGAATTATAATAATATTTACATGGGGTAAGGCTATGTGTCCATTAGTCAAATGAGGTCATCCTATAATTAAGATGATGACTGACTTATCAGGTCTGAAGTTTCCTTAGGCAAAAGAAGAGGCTGGACATATTTCCTTTTTTTGGTTCAAATAGCTATTACTTCTGCTTCTAAAGAAATACAAATAGGTCATTAACATGTTTCTAAAAGATGACAATTTATTGATTAAGTAGCTATATAAATGATCGAGAGTTCTCGAAAAAATGAGTGGCATCACGAACAAAATTTTAGAAACTAGCTGACCAGACAGATTTAATTAATGAGATAGATGATGATCTTAGCCGACCATTAATGACGCTCAGGTCAACAGAGAACTCCATAGAATTTTCAACTGTTTCAGCCGAAGGTGACTAATTCGTCTAGGCAGTATAGATTGCCGAAGGTGGATAATGCGCTGCTCCTTTGTTAACATTGTATGGCGCAACTTGTTTGGTTAAAAAAGTTCTTATCCAGTCTAGAACCTAATAGTCAACGTACTGCGTCTCTATCCATTTATTTATGTCTTTCACCGCTGAACGCGATGGGTTTTGGGAATAAATATTACGTTAACGGGAATTTCAATATCTTCGACAATAATGATTACATTTTATTACAATTTTCTGAATTATTTACTCATATATTATGTAATTTTAAGCTTTTTATCTGTTGTTATCTTGTTTGCTCAATTATCTAGCTTCATACGTGTCTATTAATAAATTCGGCAATTGGCTGTTTCGTAATTCGATAAACTTGCAAAAATATTTCTAAAATGTTCCCATAAGATTTTCATTAGTTTTGTTTTAAAATGAAATACATCACTTAATGTGTATTCATGCACAATGGATTAACACGATGAAGTTTTTATATGCCAACCCGCATTATGCTTGTGTATAGTATGCCGATATCATAACATTTTGACACTTCGTAAAATTCATGCATATTTTTTTTATCTCAGTAGTTTCTGTTTATCATGGTTATTCTGTCCGATTAACCACTTTTTTTGAACACTTTTGTCTGTATCTATATTCTTTATCCACCGTTTGAAATTTCTTATTTCTATATATAATAGTTAACCGAAATAATATAAGACTTTTGAGCTTGAAACTTTGTTGAAAAAAAACTTAACCATATTAGATAACTAGAGCTGTTGGTTGTAGAGTTCTAGCAGTGGCTTGTGGAATATGCGGTGGTTCGTATCTATACGAACGAATGAACCAAAATAATATAAAACTTTTGAGCTCGAAACTTTTAAATGATTAGTGTACACAAAAGAATTTTATAAAATTATAAATGTACGTGCAAGTTAATGTGGGCACATAGGGCAAAATAATATAATATTATAAAACTTAAAAGCTACATGTTTATGTGTGTATGATGTACAGTAATTTAAAGATCGATGTTCTAGCTCATTAATGTTTCCAATAAGTGAAGTAGTATGTTGATATACTTCAGACCTTTGGGACACTATAAAAGTTTGTGCTCATTGCCATGTATCACCATTTATTCGAGATCATCCAGATCTCTAACTAATTTGGTTGATGCCCGAATACCAATGTGAAATCTTACCCTTTGTTGAGGATGTCTTTGTAACGTTGATGGGACAAATGATCTTAGTCGGCTGGTAGAGTCACCACATATTATATTTGTCGTGTCTGTGAGCTGTAGTTTTTCTAATCCCAACAAGGTATGTCCATTCGTCAATCAGCTCTGCACTTCATAATTACCTCATTGCAATCATTCTATCATCTGTAAATTGGAATCATTACACTGGAATGTATGGATACTTGTTTGTGATAATGTATTAGCCACTGTGTTCCTATTACCTTAGTTTGTTGGACGCGAATTGCGGGATAAACTCTAGATACCGGATCTCTGTGAATAATTGTCGTATTTGATATCTAATGCTTTTGTAGATGTTTTATGTTCAGTGTATACTATAAAGCTGTTTTGTTCAAGCGTGTATCTAGAGTGCTTTATTGCTAGATATATATCTAATAATTCCTAGCCAAAAGTACTACATCTCGGTTGAGTCAGACTCAGTCATTTAGGAAAGAAAGACAGAGGTTCCCATTTTTCATTAACAGACTGTTAGAAAACGGCTATTATGGCCACGTTCGATGCTTCTGTCATTATAGCTAGTAATGACTTGTTTTTTCGAACCAGCAATCTTTTCGTTTAGTAAGTTTTTGGCGTGCTCAAATGCTTGTGTGAATTTGGTCAAGAAATGGGAAGTACGCATATGTCCTCGCAATATATTCGTTAGTGGTTGAGATGGAGCAACACAGATTGAAATGAATCACCCATAGAAATTTACCAATCTCAAAAGTTGCTTTTAAATCGGATGAGATAGGTGTCGCACCCATTTCATAAGCTAGGGAATACAACTATTTCTTACCACACACTTCTCAGGTTTTATAACCACTCCATATTTCGTTAGTTTTGCGCATATTTGTCTGAGGCACTGTAGTTGTTTTTCTCCCGACGTACTTGCAACGACCAGATTGTCAATATAAATGTACACAAATGGTATGCCTCAGGTTATCTGGTCGATACCATTGAAATACCTGGCCATTATTCGTTAATTCAAATGACATGCTTAAAAATTTGTACAACCCAAAAGGCGTTGTAATGGCTGTTTTCTATACATTAACTGGAGGCATTGGGATGTGATGATGTGTACGTACCAAATCAGTCTTCGAGAATATTACTGCACCGTATATACTGTTATTAAAGCCGTGGGTACACGGTCTGGGTACCGATCTGCGAGAGTTTATTTATTTAGGGCCTGACAGTTGCCAAGTGGTTAGCTTTCCTCTTTCTTACTGGGTTGCTAGACGGTCGAACGATGCATTTGTTCATTGATCCATCAAAATCACTTTCCTCTATCTCCAATTTTGCTGGGTCTAACCTCGTTTGGTAATACTTTAATCATGATGTCGTGCTGTACTTCATGTTTATAATGTTTGCTTCTTCATGACACTATCGTCAAGTCGGAGAATCCTGTTAGCGATAGAGCGTGTGGATTAGAAGACACTTAGAACATCACCGAGTTCATCGGTAACGAGTCTGTACTGACCCCTCTAATTGTTTTCACATGACCATTGTTTAAATGCTTATGTTGTTTTGGATCAACCAATGAACTAAACGTTTGCAGGAAATCTATACTAAGTTTGGGTAAGGACATGTCTGCCACTATAAATTATGACTAAACGACGGGCCAAAGTTAATTTATTTTCATATACTATGCATTTTTATATCAGACGTATTTGTTTCTCTGAATACTGACGTGGTATCAATGTTTCTCTTCTCTCCATCTACGGTGGCATGAAATTAATCTCCACTCTGATGTCAACTAAAGTTTGTCCACCTGTTGTTCGGTCTTGTATATAAGATAGACAATTTTTCTGAGTCACCCCAGCCTCAGTAGTCATCATCTTTGCTGTAGGTTCCTGAATATACAGGGTGATCTATTGTCCGTCTGTACTTGACTGAGATGCTGGTTGATGGTTCGCTAGTAAGCTACAGAAGCGGCTTTGGTTACTGCCTCCGGAACGTCGTATGAGTTTTCGTGGTTTAGCTTAAATATTAAGTGACGAATGCAATTCACAGCTTCATCTGGGAATGTGAATTGGCATGACCGAAATCGTTTTTTGAAGATGAATACTATTGACCACTAAGTAGTTTTTGATTCTGACGAACCAAAGTTGTTGGTCTGAGGCCTTAAAAGCAGGAAAGGAAAAGTTAACAGCACCCATGGACGAAGTATGGCAAAGACCTATCAGTCTTTCAAATACATGTTTATAAATAGGCAATAATACACATATATATAAATATATATATGAAAGAAAGTTCTATACAGCCAGTAACAATGAGAATGGTAAATGATACAATATTATAAAATGGAACAGACTTAGCAAACAGCATCAATATAATTTAATTATTTATAATCTTTAAAAATTATGTCCAACAGTGTTCACGAGGTAATATATGAGTGTAATAGTTACGGCAATGATAATCATCGAGCAGTAGTAATCTGAATTAGCACGATGTACGCTGATTTTCAATTTTCAGCAGTATTATAGGAAGTTGTGTTCTTTTTTATGTTCAATTTACCAATTTCTATTAAAGAGTATCTTCGAGACCATTCCTATACTTCGTAAAATTAACGAACTAGTCACACGTTATTAACATAATTTCCAGGAGGAAAAGTAAAGTTGTGGCAACCATCTATTTTAAGCACAGGTCACAATGAATATATATTACTGCAGATGAAAATAAAACAGTCTTTTCCTTGTAGGTTAGTTGGAGGGCTTAGTAAATTTGAACCTTTACAGCCTCAAGTGAGAATTAGGTACGATTATGGGAATTTGTCTACTCAGTTTTCTGCTAAATAATCGAATGTAACATTGTTTTAAATAAGCAAATATAGATCTTTGCTTATAATGCATATGGCTTAATGCAATACGCACAGCATGCACATATACCAATAGGAGACTGATGAATTGCAGTCCTAAAAATCAATGGGAAGATTCAAGAAAATAACACCATTTTTCAAATATTTATATTATCTTTTATAATAATACATTATACTACTTATTCAATATGTACAGTACAATTATTAATTACGCAATTTTGTTGTAATATTTTTCCAATGCAATATTTCATCATATGACCACCCAATTTGTTACCCAACATTGAATGTAAAATCTTGATGTAAAAAAATTCTGTGACTATTTTAAAGTAATAAGTAATAAAAAGTTATCTATCTTATTATGGCCTAACAAGATACCACATTCTAAGAATACATTCCATGATGTTTTTTTGTCAATGTACCTTATCACAAGATACATTAATATTTTCTTTTGTTTGGACATTTTCATAGGATCCTCTTATTTGAATGAATATATGCAGTTTATGGCTATGAAGGTTGAAAAAGATGAATGGGAAATAGAATAGTGACTAACTATTATTTAATAGATGAATTTTAGCATTTGAGTATTCAACGGAAAGCTTGGATAATTATTTTGTTTTCTTGAATGACAAATTCTTCGATTTTAATTTACACATTAACTGTTAATTATCTTTGTATAGTGGTGATAAATTATTCTATAGTCAGACAAAAGATTGGAAGATTTCAATGCAGAATTTTTTTCCACGATGCCATTCGCTATAGCATGAGGGTCGCATTCATTTTTGCTTTTTATACATTGTAGTGTTTCTTGTAACATATGGTATCACTTAACAAATTTATTTTTCCTTGTATCAGCTCGTACATTAGTCGTCTTACTCTTATGTAGTAACGTGCATTGGTCACCTAAGTTTTATACTTTCCAAACGAATATCCGAGCATTGTCTTAATTGGTTATCTAAAATTTGAAATGGAAGTCAATCAGCAGCTCAATACTGGAATACCTCGTTAACTCTAGTCATTTAAAGTCACTGTAATTACATTTTAGTATCATTTTTGAAATCAAAAGTATTGACCTAAAGGAGGGAGGTTTGGGTTAGGAGCTTATGTATGTTTGGGGCTAAAATAATTCACCGATCTCTATGTTGAAAAGTGTACAATTAATTGCTAAATAATAATATTGGTTTACTCGATTTCCACTGTTTCTTCAAATGAAATTAGTTGACGAAAATTTTTTAAAATTGTTTATCTAAATTACTGTCCATTTTCTAAATAAACTCTCATATTGAAGTTAAGTTAATGTTTCTAATGCCACATATAGTGAATTGTATACCATAAAATTATTCGCTAAGACTTATATATCAAAGATCTAATTGAACATGTTATGTTGATTGTATAGTAGCATATCTTAAAAAATGTAATTAGGAAATTATTTTGACAGAATTAATGAATATATTTTATAAAAGTTATTTGTTTCACACAACGTTTTTATTGGATACTCACTGAGTTTTAATATTTAGTTATTGATTAATCAATGAGACTATAATTTATGGATGATCATTAAGCCGACGCTAAAAAGACCTAGAGATTGTTCACGTACATACTACGGTCAAATCAAAGTTATAAACCAATGTGAGGAATTAGGATTAATATTTACAATTGATAGTTAGGGT